ACCTGTAACCCAGCACCTGGAAGATCATTGCAGGTTCAGGGTCAACGTGGGCTACACAAACTGAGACCTGCCTCACAAACAAACAGTCCAAAGACTGGAAAAAGGTGACATTCATGTAGATAACTTGCAACAAAATGATTATCATGTTTTTGTTTGTTTTTTAAATACTCTACAGAGAAGGCCAGAGAGATGGCTCGGTAGGTAAAGGCTCTTGCTGCCACCAAGCCAGACAATCTGAGTTCCATTCCTGCGCCCCACATGGTAGAAGGAGAGAACTCCAGCCAGCTGTCTTCTGTCTGACCCCACACACTTCACATGGCTATGTGGGCACACACAGATAAATACATAGAAATGAAAGAAGATTAAATGTGATAAAACTCCAGAGAGTTACAGAGACTATTTCTTATTAAAAATAATTCTCTGGATTGTTGGCACCTATCTATTGAAAATACACACAAAGCAACATAAATATAAGTTTATTTAATGCTTTAGTCAATGATATCTTTAGGCAATGGTTTCTAAAAGGCACTGGGAGAGATTTAAATGCTGTTCCTTTTCTGGATGAGATCACTACTAGGAGAGTCCCCTCCAGGCTGTGCAGCTGACTCCTGGGAGCTGTGGCTTGCTGCCACTACCCTGCATCCCAGGACTGGATTTTACTATAACCACTGCTAGCCAGGGACAAGAAATTTAAACTTGAATATGCTTTCTACAGAATACAGGTTTTGTACCTTTATAAGATGAACCAAGAGCCATCCACATTTTATTAAACAAAAATTTAAATTTGGGGGTTCAAGCCTAAAGATATACCAACTCCTTACTATGCACAGACAAAATTTATCTTAGATATATTTCTTAATATTTTAAGTAAACTCTGTGATAGTTAATCTCAATTGTCAACTAGATGGCACCTAGCATCACCTAGAAGATGTGCCTCTGGGCAAGATGGGAGGGATTACCTTGACTGGGTTAACCAAAATGGGTGCCACTAAGGATGGCACCATCCCCAGGCTGGACCCTGGACTCCTTAAACAGGAGCAAGGAAGGTGAGTGCAGCGCTCTCCTCAGTCTCTGGCCTTGGGCAAGGATGTGATGTGATCAGCTGCCCTAAGCTCCTGTAGCTGTGAATTGTGAACCAAAAGAAATCTTGTCTCCCTTAGGTTGCTTTCAGAGTAGTCTGTCTAGGCAACAGAAAAGGAAAGAGACACTGTCTGTCTTTCCCAAACTCTCTCTATATGAATGTATGTATTTTCACCCCTTTTTGAGACAGAGTCTCAGTAGATAGCCCTAACTGCCTGAAACTCATTTTGTAGACCCATCTGGTCTCAAACTCACAGATTCTGCCACTGTTTCCCAAGTGGTGGGACTAAAAGCACATGCCACCACACACCGCAATGCAATTAAAAAAAAAGCCATTTCTGATTATATATGAAACACTCAAAAGGAAAACAAAAGTCACCCATAACCATAATCACTGTTAAGTTTATCTAGGCTGTTGAATTCATATATTTATCTGAGCATATTAAACAAGGCTGTGATCATACACAAGTGCTATTTTATAAAGTCACGAAGGGATTTTATAAAAAAGTTTTGGCAAGGGCTAGACATGGATCAGTGGTTAAGCACACTGGCCTTTGTTTCTCCCAACTATACGATGGGTCATAACTGTCTGCAACTCCAGTTGCAGGAGATCTGCTGCCCTCTTCTGACCTCTGTGGGCTCCAGGCAACATGGGTGATGCACAGACATATGTGCAGGCAAAACAGTCTTAATACAAAATAAAGCGATGAAGATGACAATAGTACCTTCTGATAACTTGAGATACAAAAAAAATAGCAATACCTAATAGCTGATTTTCCTGAGTATTAACGAGGATAAACTCTTTAAAGGCTGCTAATCACTTAGATTTCTTTGAAGTTAACTGTTTTATATCGTTGGTTCATTTTCCTTATGCTTAAAGCTCTTATATGTAAATATGAGCCTGCTTAATGTATTCCTCCTGCTGAAAATGAGTTCAATGTACTAACAAGTTTAGACCACGAACTATTAAGACCTGGAGGAAGGGCCATCATGAGGAGTGGGAAGAATTAAAGGGAGAAAACTGGAAAGGCGGGGATGGGTCAAATTCTGTCATCTTTGCCATGTTAAGGATTTTCGTATTTGTCCCAGCTGCAGTGGTGCGCTAGCAGAGCAGGGTGGGGAGAGAAGTAAATCATTCCCACTTTGCAATGGGAGGACAGAAGAGGAGAGTGGTGAGGAAACCCGGTCAGCAGTTCAGGGAAGAGTGGACCAGACTGGCACTGGGCGACAAGGAAAAGCTCAAGAGACAAGGCAAACAGGGCTTTGTGACAGACGCAGGCACAAGAAATGGGACAACTGGAGGGCGACTTTGGGTCTCTGGCTGACACTATCATTGACTGACACTGAAAGGAAGGTCAGATAGCCCCAGAGAGGGAAGAATGGGGAACAATCTACTTGGCCATTTTGAACTCCAAAAGGTTGTGAGACATCTGAGGAGATACAGAGCCAGTCTCAGCAAGGCAACTACCTTTCAGGCAGGTCTTGGTCTGCATTAGAAACGAAAATCCAGAAACTCTAATATGGAAAAAGTTTTTAAAAAATGTAATTGAGAAGTCTGACACACAAACCAAAGTCAGAGCATCCTTATTCTGAGTTGTGTTACCAAGTTACTGTGCACCGGTTACAGACATTTCCAAACTGAAGCCTTTCCAGTGAAATCTGTCCTGTTTGATGTCTTCTTGGTGGACAGCAGGCTGCTCAGAAGCACAATCTAATTCTTTTTCTGTATCCTGGCCTTGGCATGGTTCCCAAGGCACTCTACACATTCAATGGAGTTTAACTGTTCTCTCACGCACACAAGGTGCACAGAGCTCAGCCATTACTCAGTTAAGGCAATCTCTATGAGCCACATGGCTGGGGAAGGTACTGAGGCAGGTGCCCTGGTGCTCTCATGTGTAAAGCAGGGCACACGACCTCCCAGAGTGACAGGCCACGTGCCACACTGAGCGCGGTGCCTACACTGAATGCACATGGTTAAGCATTCAGATTGAACTATTCTTCCTGTTCTATAATTATCTCCTTTCTTCCTCTTCCATGAGCAGAGAAATGTTCAAAAATGGAAATGGTTTCTGGTGATTCATTATCGTCTTCAAGCTTTGGAACACAAAAACACTTCATGTGTCTTCAAATTTAAAAGCAGAAAACAAAGCATACAATTTTGATGTGTCTGATCAATAAAATTAGTATGGGGGAACCTAGATTTAGCTACAGATTTAAATTACTCTGGCCTTAATAAAACTATTTTAAATCAAAATACATGATGACTACCGGCTTTTGGACAGGTCTAGGTCTGACTGGGAATGAAATGGTTGGTTGAGAAGCAGGTGTATGTGGAAAGTGGGCAGGACTGTCAAAGACTAAAATAATTGTTCTGCTAAACTTTATTTAGGTTCCTACAGAAGCCAGAAAACTCTATATACTACAGGTTTAGGCATTAAATTTGAAAATTAAGCTTAGGCTGTTCATTTAATATAAAGGTACTGATTCTCTTGAGCGGGTCTTCCATGTGTCCCTATTTCCACTGATAACAGACTATTGTTTGAAACATTAAGAAGGGATGGGGTGGCTCATTCCTGCAATTCCAGAAACCAGAGACAAAGAAGGGTTTCCTAGAGCTGAGGCCAGCCTGGGCTATAAGGTGAGTTCCAGGCTATTCTGGGCTACAGAGTCAGCTACTGTCTTTTCATAGCTCTGTCTATTCCTTAAATCAGACATTCTTCTGGAAGTCTACAGTAGCACCTGAGAAGTTAAATTAATAGTTGGGGCAGTTAGGAATGCCCTAAAACTGAAAAGAGAACCTCTGTGTGCTTGGAGGTGTTACTGTTTCCTTCATATTTAAAAAAAAATATGTCATAAATCTTAGTCCTCCTGGCATTTTCTGGGCTTCCAGCTGCTATCTATGAACTTTATGGTTGGCTCCTATGTCAGTCTTGACTTACTACAGACTTAATTTCACATTTCCAACTATCTACTAGGTCTATCTATTAAATTAAACCAACTCACCCAAACAAAAGTCACCAATCCCATAAGAAAAAAATTGACTTTGCTTCTTCTAGTGTTTATGTACAGAGTTACTATCCAATATTAATTTATCCCAGTTAAAAATGTTAGAATGTTCACTTGTGTGTTATCCCAGCACTCTGGAGGCTGAAGCAGGAGGACTGTCATAGTTTATGGCTAGCTTGAGCTACAGACAGAGTTCCAGGTTAGCCTGGGCTAGAGTGAGCCTGGATGAAGCCCACACCCCTTCCCAGCAAACTCCAGAGCTCTCCTTGGCATATCATTTTCCTCTTATGTTAACTTCGAATCTAGCTTCTTTTCTGTGTCCACAGCAACGCTTTTATTTTGGGATTCTTTTGCACAGCATTATGGCAAGAGCCTCCTACTAGAACTCTTCTGTGTTTGCAACGTCTAAAATCTAGTCCATCTACCAAGTAACTACCAGAATTATCTTTCTAATTGTGCCACATTCCTACTTTTTCTTTTTAAAAAAAAAAAATCTCTTGACTCCCTGAGACAAACAAAATAGGATCTAATCTACTTGGCTTGGAATGCTGTGTGCTTCCCACCTCCAATTTTCCTTTTATAACTCAATCTACTTAAAACGCACCCTTACAGCCTCTACTTTATAGCATACCATTTGTAATGGCATATCTCTTTCTGCTCGTCCCCGTTCCTTCAACTAACAAAATCTTACTCCAACTGCACATTTAGTACATAACTAAAGTCAACCACACCCTGTGGGATTCACTCAGAGAACAATGGTCAGGGGTGGAAGCCCCTCAGCAGTTATAGTCTGGTGGTAAAAGTAGACAACAAATAGGCCAGCCATGAAAATAATCAGAAAGTGTCACCTAGGAATGAACAAGATGATGAGAGGTACTTGAGGAGAAATGGTCCAGGGAAAGAATTTCAACTACCTTTGGAAGCGAGACCCTAAGCAGCCTGGAACTGGAGGTCGTCTCAGCAGAGTACTCAGCCAACGAGGGGATCTCTCTGCGTTCTGTCTACTAGATTGCAGATTCAAGATCTCTTGAGAAAAGGCTCAATTTAAATGTCTTTAGCTCTTGGATCAGTAACTTGGCTGAACACTTTTGGAACAACCTAAATAATCGAAGGACTGGGGGCAAATGGAAAGAACATATTTTATTCAAGGTGGCAAATAAATATCATAGAAATTAAAATCTAGACGTATTTAAAACAAACAGTAAAACAAGAGGCAGGTATTCTCATTTATGTACTGCACTTTTAATATGCATTTCCCCCAGGCCCGACCCTTCTTCATTTCACCCAAGGACCCCCAGGCATCTCTTAAGGTATTCTGTAATAGCTTCTGCTATGTAATATGTAATAGCATTCTGCTCACCACAGAATGACTAACCTGTCAAGTCTCTTTCAGGGTGCTATGCAGTTCATAGATAATAGTCTTATTTCTCTATTTAGACAAAGTAACACAGTTCCACTGCTAGGCATGGTGGCCCTCAAGTGTAATCTCAGTAGCTGGTGAGAACAGAGGATCACTAGTTCAAGGCCAGTCAGGGATACAAATCAAGATCTCACCTTGACCTCAAGACAGACAGACAGACACTGGTTTCAGTCATCTGAAGCTCTTCTAATTTTAACAAGTGAAAAACAAAAAAGCTACAATGGAGGCACACATTTCTAACACAAATACTCGCTGCTTCTCAGAGACATGTCTGAGATATGCCCAGTCTGTGTGCTAAAGCCTACCACTCCGAGGCCTACAATATGTAGTGTCATTTCTGCCTTGCATCCTAGAGGCAATAACAGGTTGTGCATCTAAACATACCTAAACACAGAAAAAGTACAGTAAACATCCTAGGTGACAGGAAGTTCTCAGTTCCATTACAATGAACACCATCATATACATAGTCCATCAGTAGCCACACCTTCATCAGATGGCACAGGAAACTGCCCAAGCAGGGCTGCACAGCCCTGAGATTTTAAATTACTGCTGAGCTGTAAGTCTGCCATACTGGAACTCATGGTAGCAACATGCTGCTAAGAAGATGAGAGAATTATTCATATTGACTTTTTTTTTTTTGCACATGTTCTCATATAGAGACTTCAACTCACTATGCAGCTAAGGATGACCTTAGACTCCTAATCCTCCTGCCTCCACCTCCCAAGTGCTGTGATTACAGGCATGAGCCATCATGCCTGGCTCATCCAATATATGCTATGCCATAGATCATTTTCCTTGAGCCTCCACAACACCACAGAACAGAGAACCTTTTATAGTAGCCCACCATATCTGCTGAGATCTATAAACTGGTGACAGCCTTCTTCAACATGGCTGTGCTTCCAGGACCTCCTTAAGCATGAACAGCAAAGACCCTGGGATGTGGCCAGCCCACGATCAACTCAAGGCTCCTGAGGACACAGGTAAGGAGCTGTACAAGATACACAGCAGCTATAAGCAAGACAGCGAGAAAGGCTCTGGGGCTCCAGAGAACAGTCTGGCAAATCAAAGGAATGGGGTGAGTCCTGGTCCACAAAAGCTTCAGTTCACTGTGAGTTATCTGAGGTTCAGAGAAACCATAACCCATCTTCACATACGCAGTCTGGGTTATAGATTAGCTTTATATCCTCGTATCTGTACAGCAACATCTGGTCCACAAACAGTCTGGTGGGAAGAACACCGGGGAAACACTAATGGTGTGTCAGAACTAGCTGAAACCCAGCAAGTTTTGCTGTAAAGAGCCAACAATGACATATTGGAGCCAGTCAGTCAGTCTCTCTTGCCATTTACCCTTCCTTTCTGAGACAGGGTATCAATTTGGAGCCCTGGCTAGCCTGGAACTTACTATGTAGATAAGGCTAGCCTCAAACTCAGATATCCACCTACCTCTACCTCCACTGGATTAAAGGCAAGAGCTAACAAGCCAGGCTCAGGACTTGCATTCTTAGAAGTATTCCAACACTGTCCTCAGAGTATCTAAAATTAAAGGAGCTATAAACCTATACGGGTTTTTGCTGGTGTTGTCTGGTTTTGGCATAAAAGTCACAATCATTTCTTCTCACCTCCCCCACAATATATCTGAGATCCATTCATGTGGCTATGAAAACAGAGCTAACACAATTCGATCAATACAGGGTGGATTCAGAATGATCTAGTTGCTCAACTAAATCAACAGGAGCAACCTGACTTCACTTCCGTTAATCAAGAAAACAAAAGTCTTATCTCTGTATATAAACAGATTTGCTAATCTCATGTAAAATGTAACTGAAACATGGAAAAAATATGGAACTCTACTGCTACATATTTAAAACATTATACACCTTGCTTATTGTTATTTGTGTGTGTGCATGTGTGCGTGACAGAGAGAGAGAGACAGACAGACAGACAGACAGAGAGTCTTGAGGATTAAACTCGGCCTCACACATGTCAGGCAATAACTCCCACTGAGTTGAAGCATTATGATGGTATAGTATGTATCTTACAAAAATATTACTTTAACAAAAAAACAGGACTCAGATATTCGACAAAATAGAGGACAAGAGTGTGATATCCTTTTTTTTTTTTTTTTAAAGCAAAACCTCTTTTTGATACAAGGTCTTGCTCTGGCTGGCTAGAACTCAGTGATCCTCCTGTCTCAGTCTTCTGGATACTGCGATTACAGGCATGCTCCAACAGCCTCAGCTAACTTTTTTTTTTTTTTTAGCAGTTTCAAATGTTCAATTAAACTAAAAGACTTGGACTTAACCTTAAGTTAGCTATCTTGATAGTTAACTATAATTATCAAATTATTTCTCTGATTAGGTAGCCTCAATGTTTGGTTTGAGCATTACCACAAAAGAAAAAAAAGTTGTTCAGTTGTAAAGCCTCTGTAATCACTGGCAGAGAGCAACAGCTTCAGCTACTTCTAAATTTCTAAGAAAGCTACTGTTTTACAACAATTATAGGGACAAGGAAAACTCAAATGACTGATATGGGCACTAACAAATCTCAAGTTTATCACCAATTAAGGTATACAAGTAAAAAGAATGTCTTCTAAAGAAAGACTAATTCTGCTAATGAATCAACAGGGCTATTCCTTTTATTCAGAAGTACTATACAGCAAAACAGTCGGGTCCACAGGGAAACAGCATTTCAATAGCTGTAACCCAGAGCCAGACCACGCTTTGTTGGTCTGCCTTTACTTAGTCCATCTGCCATAAGTGATAACCAGATGCTCGGATGACAATTACAGATTTTAGAGAGCAGCCTCCCCCACCCTGCCCTGCCAACACACACACTAAAACCTAACAGCAGAGATGAGTTCAATAGCCGGAGATCAAAAGGAACTTCAATAATGTAACAGAGTCCGGAACAAAGGGAAGGAATCAAGCGATCTGATGGTTCCCTTTAACACTGAGGAGCAGCGCGGCTCACAACACCTGCTCAAGTGCTTTCTTAGTCCTCACAGCAACCCTTTAAGTACTTCAGACATTAACTCCATATTGCAGACAAGGAAACTGGGGCTTCGGGGGTGAAAGACACTTCTCAAATGATGTCATATCACTAACAAAAAGCAGAACTGTGATGTTGAACACAGGTGGCTGCGAGGTAGGCACAGTCCATACTCTTAAATGTTATACCAGTAACACTGAACCGATCCTGATCAAGTCACTGCATTACAACTAAGAGCAGAAGGAAGGCTAACCCCTTAGAAACTATTGAATTCATGTTTTACTTCTAAGATGCTATACATCTTCACCTGGTGAGTGAATCTTACCATCATCCAGGCCAATCTACATACAAAGCTGTCTTTCTTGCTAGACACCGTTAGTACTGTCAATCACAGGTCATGAGAAAATTCTATCCTTAACACTTCTGTCTTGTGTGTGTATGCACAAATGGGTGTGTTTATAGATATGCATGTGCTACAGCATGGAGATCAGAGGACAACCTCTTTTTTAAGACAGGCTCTCTTTTGAGTCACTGCTACCTATGCCAGGCTAGCTGGCCCACAGGTCTTCAGTTTCTGCAACCCTCTCAGCCATAGGCTTACAGACACACTACCTCATCTGGCTTCCTGTGGATTCTGGGGATCAGGCCCTCACACAGGCAAGCCAAGGGCTTTCCCCACTGAGCTATCTTCCCGGGCCTCAGTGTTCTTTTTAATGCTAGCACTACACTTACAATAAGCTATAGTTAAACTTTTGTACTGCAGAGGAGGGAGTGCACATGTTAAAGTTTCATTGACCTCATGTGAAAAGAGATCTAAACTGCCCAAGAGAATGCTTTGATGTAATTTTTGAACATTTAATAAGTTCCCTGTTTTCTTGCACAAATCCAGGCATTTAAGACAAATTATCTTGTTACCATTTAGTCACAAGTAAAACCTGGTGAGCAGAGTTGCCAATGTGATCTGATTAATGACATACTTCTGGAATCTTCACACTATAGGACAATACATACTCCACACCGCTTTCTAAAGGAAAGACACAATGCATCATAATACAAAAGTCACATTCGTTGAGATGTCTGGAAAGATCCCAGGTGTCTCGACAATCCTTGCATCTACCGCTCCAGCTGTGGTAGTCAGCCATTCTTTAAATTGCCTGGACTCATTAAAACAAAGTCCTAGTCATGGCTGACACTCTGGGTGCTTGGAACTTGCAACACTACACAGAGAAGTTGGACTGTTATTACACGGGGGGGGGCGGGCGCCCACTAGGTTCAGAAAGGTTCTTCTCTGGGTTCCAGCCCTCGTACTACAGAACAGCTCTCCTTCATCCACTAGAAAGCCCAAGTGCAATAGAAGTAGACATGTTATTTCCAATCCAGTAAACAGATTAATCTCCAAAATCCACATATAGAGGATACGAACACACAATATGATGATGACTCACAGTGCTGACCCTCTAAAAGCTGTGTTATGAGGCAGGATGACATCTGCACACCAACTATCACAATACCAACGAGTATGTAATACAATATCTAAAATTCAAATACACAAATTCAGTCAGTTGTGTTACCCATGTCTGTCACCTCTCTGTCATCTACACTTACACAAAAAGCACACTTGAAGTGGCACCAGTCAATAAAAAGAGGTGAAATAAAATGGAAAGAATTTTCAATGAAATTTTATAGTTCAAGTGTCAGCTAAAAAT